CCTTTTGAAGATCTAGTGTTTTTGAAATATGCCAGTGTAAAGAGATTTGTGTTTTTGAAAGGATGTTTAATTAAAACTTTACAAATCTTAAAAAGCCTTTACTCCACAACAGAGGTTAGCAAACAGTTGCACAAAGTATCCCAAAATGTGATTCAAAGGACATCTTGCTGCTAAGATAGAGGATTTTTGAGTTAAAATGCTACTTACCGCTCCTTTTGCCAGCAGAAAACTAAATTGACATAAAAATCTGCTCCTCCACTGGTAATCCCTATATTGTCATAGGTACAATGCAGCAAATTATTCTGATCTTATAGAGTACAGGTTATTATAGCCAACAGCCATTTATCACCCTTCCCTACACTTGCTCTAAATCATTCATTCATTCATTCTTTTCTATAACCACCCATCTCAGCCAAGTGACTCTGGGTAACTTATAATTCTAAAACTTTAAAACACCCCCCCACATCTTTTTTATGAACCTCTAATCCCTTAATTTGGGGTAGAGCTGGGGCAATTGAATGGAGCTGAGTGTTTATTGCTCGGGTGCCCTTCCTGACTCCTATGTGGAATTCCGAGAAAGAAACATCTGCTGTTACCTAGGATTGAACTCTCAATCTTCTGAGTGGGAGGCGAGCATCTTCAACATTATGACACCATGCTGCTTAAAACTTCTTTGCAAGACATAGCTGCCACTACCTCCATCGATTCTGCTTTAAAACTGGAATCCAATGTAGAGTGATTATGAGCAACTTTGTCCACCAGATGTGCAGTATATTCCTCACAATGACCCTTTAGGTCAGGGGTATCAAATTCAAGGCCCGTGGACCAGATCTGGCCCATGGGGTGCTTAGATCTGACCCGTGAGTGCATCCTGGAAACAGCGAAGGACTGGCCTGCGGTGCCTCTGCCAGTGAAAATGGAGCTCGGGATGAGGGCCCCCCAAGCTCTGTTTTCGCTGGCAGAGGGTTGCAGAGCGCTCAGGTAAACCATAGGCACTCCTGACATGAGTGATGTCAATTTAGCCATGCTCACCCTGGCCATGCCCACATCTGGCCCCAGGAGGTCAAACACAACCCTGATGTGGCCCTCAATGACATCAAGTTTGACACCTCTGCTTTAGGTGAACTCTGCCAACTAGCAGCTGGTAGAAAAATGGCAGTCTCTCATTTACTCTCTACACCCTGTCACCACTGTTAGTCCACCATGATAGGTGTGGGTGTGGGAGCAGGCTGCATGGTGAAGCATGAAAGAAAGCCAGGACCCTCCTGCATAACTGTCCCTGCACTTGTATCTGTACCTGGTGGCTCTTGGGGATAGCCTGGTCTGAAAGAAGTCGAGTCTTCTACTATACAGAAGAGAATAACTCTGGAATAGAGACCAGGAGGGAAGGAGTAATATCTGTCCTAGTTTAAATTTCAGATCAGCTGAGGCAGCTTCATAAGGATAGGAAAGGAGGGAGGGAGAAAGGAAGGAAGAAACTAAGCTATGTCAGTATTACAGTTAGATGCAAGTGGGGAAAGTCTTATGAATATATAGAAAATAGAAACTTGCAGTTATGACTGGTTATTTCAAATTAACCTTCTGAATATGTCCTTGTTATATTCCTTTCATATTCCCTATGCCATTGGCTGAGTGAAGTAAGAAAATGGAAGCTACTTTGTGTTCTGCCTATCAGTATACAGTCAAATCCTTTTTTAAATGATTATATCCAAAAGGATTCTGTTCAGTGCTGATATGCTACTGGTTCGATCAAACTGGTAGTAAAAAAAGCTTCTGATGATCAGCTGAGAGAAGGAAAAAAATTCTTTTTTTTTTTTTTTGGTAAAAGTTTTATTGATTTTAACAACAAATAAAAACACATAAAACATAAAACATAACATAAGAACATCATCATTCTTCATAAATTTACAGACAGTGTATCGGTTGGTTTACCACTCCTTTTTGTGCATCCATTTCAGAGAAGGAAAAAAATTCTTGACGATCAGCTGAGAAGAGAAAGAAGAGAAAAGTGCAGATCTCTTCTTTATCCTCTCAGCTGATAGGCGCTGCAGGTCTCAGCTGGTGTGGGAAAAGCTGCATGCTAGGCAAAGCACGCCCACCAAGCCATGCCCACCAAAGCGGCGGTAAAACAATTTGAATCCCATCACTGATTCTGTTTCTGCCCCTTATGAAATGTTCTTTTCCCAAAACATGCTCTTTAGGTGTACCTTAAAGCACACATATTTCCTTTTTGAATGCAGAAACGGGCACATACCCAATTACAGCCAAAATAATGTATAATTATAGGATTAAGCTTGAATTACTGGGTTAAGCAGATTCACAATTTGTCAAGTTGTGTCTTTTGAAGCAAATGAAATTTCCCACTTCATCTTGCAATTGTTGCTTTCTGTTTTTAACCAATCATATGCATATTTTTGTCACTTCACCAAGTCTTTCTGAATACAAATAATGCTTATGATAATCAGCCATTTAAAAACAAGATTCTGGATGTTTTGAGAAGAATTGTTCTTAGGTTTTGCATACAGATCATCCTTGCTAGCCAATTATGTAACAATTGAAGTTATAATGGACTTTTTAAAAGCTACTTATGACCTGTCCTCAAAGTTACGACTACTGCCCCTGCAGTCACATTTCAGGCACTTGGCAACCTGTTTGCTTTTATAATTGATTGCTAAACACCCTGTGATCATATGATTATTTGCAATTTTCTCTGCTGGCTTCCTCAGAGTCAGTGGAGAAGCTGGCAGGCTGGAGAAAGGAAGGTCTGCTCTTCATGATCTGAATTTCCTTTCCCCAGCCTGCCACTGCAATTCCCTTCTGTGCACTGCGAGGAGTTGCCCACTGTTCTTTGGCAAGCAGCTCTTTCACTGTCCACTTAACAACCCATATGGTTGCCCAATGACCACAACTAGAAGAGCTGGGATTGCATTTGTTGAGTGAAGCAATCATGTGGGCATCTCGCTTAATGACCACATTGCCCAATGACCAAAATTCTGGTCTGAAATTGAGGACAACTATAGCAATATTGCCCTTTGGCATAAAATTAATATAACCAACTGAATATGACTACTATTTAAGGTGTGCAACAGCCATTCCTTAGAGATATTCACCAGAATAGTTTTAGCTACTGAGAAATTTCTTAAAAGTACCATATAACACGGCTAGTCTTCATTTACCAATTGCAATTGGGACAGTAACTCAGTTATTAAGTGGAGCAATCTCCAGGCTGAAATCACAACTGTGCTTTTGATCTTCCTTCAGCTTTCCTTTGATTTACAGATCTGTGAAGGTTATAAATATGAGGATTGGTCGTAAAATTGTTTTTTCATCACTATTGTAATTGTAAATGGTTGCTGTCCAACACAATCACTGAACAATGACCACTTGTTTGTGTTTCTGTGATCAAATAAAACTATAGAACACATTTCTGATTCTTGACTCTTGACTAACGTATCTTTTTTTTATGTACATTGAGAGCATATGCACCAAGACAAATTCCTTGTGTGACTAATCACACTTGGCCAATAAAGAATTCTATTCTATTCTATTTGATATTATTTATTGAACTGCCCTACTTCTGTCCATGGCAAATTAAGGAAACTATGCTATTTATTTATTTATTTGTATGCCTTTATTTTTTTACAAATCACTCACTCATATTCAACATTTCTCATTCTGTTTTTCCCACAGCAACCTGTGAGGTGAGTTGGACTGGGAGAGTGACCAGCCCAAGGTCACCGGATGGCTTTTCATGGCTAAGGTGGGACTAGAACTCACGGTCTCCTGGTTTTTAGCTTGGTGCCTTAACCACTGGTGCTTTTTGGCCCAATTCGTCAACATTTAATACTTGATGAATTCAGATGGGGGGCTGTATTATGGAAGCTGGCAAGCTTTGTTCAAGTAACAAACCCATTAATTATTTTATTGAAATTATTAACTTTTTACTTTTATAGTTAATGTAGCAATATTGCTCTGTATGTTTTGGTTACTCTTACAGATTCTGATGTATTTTAATTTTGGTTGATTATGTTTTTACTTAACTTTCATACTGATTATTATACTCTGTTGTGGTTGAAACAATAAACAAAATGAACTTGCTTAGATCTCCACACTGTTCTAATTAACTCTGAGCAGATTACAATTTTTCCTCACAGCAATAAACTTATTTATATAAACCCTAACAATATAATTGGTACAATGAGCTCTTAAAAATCCTCATTAACAAGCATCCACATTATCACATTAATAATAAAATTTTCTGGTATTTCTTCCATCTCAGGAGCAGATAATCACAGTCTCTTTCTATCCCCATGGAAAAGCCATATCCTTACAGTCGTCCAAAACATTCAGACAGATGGGGGTCCATCTTACCTCTTGGGTTAAGCTCTTCCATAGGAAAAGACATAAATGGACTAGATATTCACAATCCCTCACAATTTCAGGACCTTGAAAGCTTTTCCTGCTGTGGCCTAAAAGTCTGCTCAGTTTTGGTGTTATATTTTCTTTGGATTCAGCCGCTGTTAAGCATTTCTTAGACTTCTAAAAAAAAAACCTCTGCACCCTTATTGCCCTTCACGAACATGACAGCCTGAAATATCAACAAGCCAATCACATTTTAGCCTTGTCACTTATGGAAACTCAAGCCATGTGGTTAGTTTATGGTTGCATATGTCATACAGACTCAGAATTGGATTAACCCAGAGCGTGTCATGGGAACAGAGTCGTCAAAAGTGATTCTTAGGCAAAGTGTCTGACTGAAGTACGATGACCCGTTTGGCAATTATTCTTGGATGAAAGGAGCTACTTAGACCTGTTGTACGGTTGGCTTTTAGCCCAGTTTACAGCCCGTGCAAGAGTAATCCTGGCTGACAATTCTTTTAAGCCCCTTAGAGGCCTTTGCTTCTAACAACCGTTAACTTTTTCTAGGTCGTCTAACAGCAGCCGTCCTAAAGAAACATGACCCGGCGGGAGTGGGGGAAGGCGGAAGGGGCGAAAGGGTCATGTCATCGGTGGGGATCTGCCCCAGAGGATACCCCTTCCCCAGATCCTGCGAGCTGCAGCGAGGAGGGTCAGACTCTGGGGCCCTCCCGTCCCTGGGGACACCTTCTTTCTTTGCCCCCAGACGCATCGCCCGAGGGATTTCGCTCATCGCGTCAGGGGGGCGGCATTCGAACCCAGGTCCGCGCGCGCCCCTCGTGCAACCGTTACGCCGCGCCGGGCCCGGCCGAGCTGAGCGTGTCGGGAGCTCCGCCGGCAATGCTGCTTGGGCCCGGGCCATGTGCCCGCCGGAAATCTTTAGCAACTTGGTCCGGAGGCGCACCAGTGGCCTGCTGAAGGGGGCGGCCAAGGACGAGCTAAAGGGAGGCGAGGTCTGCGCCTGCCCTTTCTCGGTGGGGATGTCCCGAAGCAGCGTCAGCAACGTAGCTTCCTCCTCGGCCGCCCACCTCCGCAGGCCGGAGCAGTCACGCCCGCTCTTTGCCGAGGACCAGTTCCTGGCCGTTTCCAAGGAGCTGATCAGCCCTAGCGGGCGCCCCGACGCCTCCTGGCAGCTCCTCACCAACATTCAGGGTCTCTGCATCTACCGACTGTATGACGAGGTGCGAGGGGTCGCACCATGGTCCGTCTCCCCCATCCCCGAGTCCGCTGCCCGGGGGAGACAGATGGGAGAGGGCAAGGGCCTTATTAATTTACTTGTTATGCTACCATAGAAACTGAAATGTTACGGCGGAGCCCGTGCCTCGGATTTTATTAGACTATTTCCCAGCTAGTTGAGTCAGTGGACCTTGGCTCATTTAAAAAAAAAAAAATGGAAAGGAAATGGAAAACAAATGAGAGTCGCCATCTCAGAGAAGCCAGAATAGATGAGTCCGTGTAATAATCTCCATTAATCGAGCTAATTTTACAAAAAAAAAAAAACCACCTTTATTTTACCTTTACTTTTAATTATTTTTAACCTCACCTCTTTCCGCCAAGATGTTCAGGAGGCCTGCAGGGTGGCTTCCCACCTGTTGCCTTCACAGTAAACCTGCAAGGTGGAAAGAGGCAGATTATGACCTCCCCAGATCTTCCTGTCAAAAGTTTGGGGTGGTTATAGAGGGTTGAATCTTGGAGCTCCCTTATCAGTCTCCCATATTTTAACCACTGTTTTAACCATGAGCAAAATCGTAAAGAGAACAGGACTGTTAGGCATGATCCATCAGATATGATGGTACATTTTTTTTTTGTAATCTGAAAGTTTCAGTCTGTCAATATTTTTGTCATTTTGAGGGGGAAGAAGAAATAATTGTAAACTGTCTGGGCATAGACAACAAATGTCCCCATCATAAACTATGAAGATTGGCAAAATCAAAGTTTTTTCCAAGTCCAATACTGTTTCCAATAGTCATTAGCCAGGACCCTTTGGGAATTCTTGCATACAATCGTAATCAGTTTTCTGTATTTCTTTTCTGCCATCCAGTTGTCCAGATGTTTGCAGCCTGGATAAAAGTAGCCCTAGCATTTAAAAGTATGCTTTTAAAGTGAAGGACCAGTTCTGCTAAGTAATAAATCATCGATAAATTTGTCCTATTAAGGGAACTAACATAAAAGATAGGAAAATTAATAAAAAGAATAGACTTGTACTTATTTTTATAGATTGAGCAACTATGATTACATGGCGTTTATTTTTTAAAATTTATTGGCGAGTGCCCGAAAAGACATCTTTATTTTTCATGAACATTCTGCCATCCTATCCTTCAACTTTTATTTTCTTTCATTTTTCTGTTTCCCATACTTGAGATGAGGTGACAATGAGGGCTAACAGCTTGAATTTATCATACTTAATCATGGGTATATTCAACAATATTCTTTTTTCCTTACTCCTTTTCACTTAGGGATGTTTACTATAAGACAAAATTAGAGAAGCTGTGGGATGCAGATCTAGCTCTTATTGCAAGTCTGGCTTTTCTGCAGCATTGTTGAGCTGGTCAGGGAGGCGAGCAGGATGCTTGGAGTATAGGTAGAGGCAGAATTTTCTTCTACCCTCCCTTCCTACGCAGTTAATATCTTTGGAAATAAAGTTTTTGCTCTCTTCACATTCTATAGAGCTTGCTTGAAGGAATATAAAGAATAATTTGGGTTTGGAAATTAAAAATAATTGTTTCTCAAAAGCCCAATTATTCTCTTACATTTTAGAAACATTATTCTTATTGAATATTTGTTTTTCAAGAGAAAAAACCCTATATAATATGTTTTTTTACTGTCAGCTCCTGAGATCTGAAAGGCCAAGAACTATTTCCTCCAATATATTATCAAATAAAATTGATTGTCCTCACCCTAGACTACCTACATAAAATACTCCTAAGAAATGGTGGTGGTGGTGGAGAGTTCAGTCTCTTTGATGTAAATGCTTCTTAGCCTTCCTGAAAATATTAAAAGGTTCATTCTCTTCTCCTAAGACTCTAATTAGGACACTATTTTATAGGAATCTTAATGATTGCAAAGAGTGAAGGCCATTATGTGTATTTGTGAAAGCGAGATAGGAAAAGGGAAATAATTACATGTATTCTTGTCCTTGCAACTATAATTGAGCCCAGAATTATGGTCGTAAGTTGTGTGGGTTGTTAAGCAAGGTTAGACATTTCTTGTAGTGGTCATTAAGCAAATGCCATAGTCAAATGAACATGGTGGTCATTAAGTGAACATGGTAGTTGTTCACTGAACCCATTATTCCGAATGGGTAGTTTTTGCCAGTTTTTCATATTATTTCTTATTACTTCACTTTACTGATTTAAATAAAAGAAAAGCATTTTACATGTTAATGGAATATATTTATTTATTTATTTTATTTATATTTCATGCTTCTTAACTGCCCAATCTCCTTCAGAGAGGGGCTCTGTATAATCATGTCAGAAATACATAAACACTTTTGATTCACACTCCTGATTATAATTAAGGTTTCAAATTATACAATATAACTTAATAACGTATATAAATTTATAACCTTATGTATAAGTTATACAAAAAGTAAGAAAGCCAGTATACATATAGTTTATTGCAGGGGTGTCAAACTGAAGGACTGGGGGCTGGAGGCTGGATCCATGGGGTGCTTAGATCTGGCCCGCGGGAACGCCCTGGAAATAGCAAAGGAGATGTCTGCGGTGCCTCTGCCAAAGAAAATGGAGCTCAGGAGGGCCATGTGCATCTCTACTAAGCTCTGTTTTTACTGGCAGAGGGTTGCAGGACGTTATCGCAGCCGAAAACAGAGCTCGGGAGCCCATTTTCACTGTCAAAGCGCTCGGGCCACCACAGGCACCCCTGACATGAGTGATGTCGAACTGGTCACACCCACCCTGGCCACACCCACCCTGGCCACCAGAGGTCAAACACAACCCCGATGTGGCCCTCAATGAAATCGAGTTTGACACCACTGGTTTATTAAATCAAAGGCTATTATCTGATGATCATATTAGAATTTCAAGGTTTTGGTATTTGCAGTTCTTAATGAAATGTATTTTCAATTGCTGTTCCATCTGACTGCATCTGTATTCATTAGATTAAGCCAGTATTTTAGATCAAGTTTGAGTTATGTATTCAAGAACTTGATTAATTTATCTCTTGATGTTAGTGAAAAGCATTCATTCTTTCCTATTTGCTATATATTTTCCAGACAAGCTGCTGGTTCCAAATGTTTTATACTGTCAGTCCCATCTACTGCCTGCAAACAGCCTTGGAGTAGGCTGCTAAAATTGTGCCATTTTAATATATATTATATCCAATTTTATTGACATTTCATTATTGAAAGATTTTTTCTGAAGCAGTGGGAAAGCTTAAGATGATTTTAAAGCAATGAAATAATTTTTGTTATAATTTTGTATAATATAAACATTGAGTATTTGTTTAAAGCTAAAGTAGTTATGGTTGTTTACCTCTATCTGCAGGAGCAGTTTTGATGCATCTATAAAGAGTGGGTTTATCTCCACTTCTGGATTGATTGTTCAAAGCAATATTGTAAAAATGTATTGAAAATAAATAATAAATAAGGGAAATGTTTAATACCACTATAAAATTCTGTTTGAATTGTACACCATTATTTAAATTACTGTTTTTCTTCAAATGATGGTTTAATAGAGGCCCTAGCTGATTTTACTGAAGGATGAAATTATGTTTACTGAATTGGGTTACTATAGTTACATTCAAAATTCTAATAGAAGAATTAAAATAAAATTAGATTTAATAAGCATTAGAACTCATAGACAGGGTAATTTTAGTTAATCACTTAAATTCTACCCATATATAATATTGAGTATGTTTCTCATCAGGGAAAACATTTAAATTGTTAATGCATTGAATTAGACTTTCTACAATGACTAATAGTAATAATAGCAAGTTATTTATTTTTGCTTCAAGAGTTCTAATATATTACGTAGCTAAACATCGCAACAGAAATATGATTATTGTTGCTGCTTATATTTGGGAGAATCAACAATTTGCTGCTGTATATCAAAAGCAGACAATTTACTGCTTTAATCCTTTGAAACCCTCAAGTTGCTTTTGAACATGACACAAAAACTGATGATATGTTTCCTACTGCTTTAGAGATAGGAAATACTTTAAAATGCCCTAAAGTAGTCTTATTGTCATTTTAAAGCAATGAAAGAATTCAGGAAAACTCAGATAAAAAACTGATTCTGGGTCTCTTTGCATCATCACCTCTTTCTCAGTTAGGATTTAGATAGTTCTTAGTTAACAAATGACATACAATATTCTTGTTGCTTTAAGGCCACTCCATGTTGTGTTAAGGATATATGGAAGGGATGGGATGAAGAAACACTGGCTCTAAACCATCATAGGTTTAAAAATCAAGACTCTGTTTTGCATGGTTTAATTCTCATCTAAATAATCTTACCAGCCAATTCATGTCTGAAATATCTTCCAAGTCTTGCCAAGGAACCAAACTAAATCATGAAATGCCAGGGGCTATATGATTTGTTGTCAGGTACCAATTGCCAATTATCAAATCATAAAAAAAGGAGAAAAGAATCTCCCTCCTTTCTCCTAGTATAGATGTGCTTCTCAGTTCTCTTAAGACTAGAGCCCATTAATGTTAATTGGGCTTGCAAAGGCCAATGCTGGCAGAAAGGATTTCTGGATTCAAGTAAGGGCTGGGATGAAAATGAGCGCAGTTTTCCAGTTTTGCCTTCTAGCTCAAATGATAAGAACTGGTGAAACTGATGTGTTTTTATTCAGTGATCCACTGGTAATCTGGTGATATATTCATTGTGACCAAGCAAATCTGGCCCTAAACGTGGTTGAATTAGATGTCTAAGCCTCCTCCCAGCTGAATGATTCATTGAGTGTCAATGTTTGCAGAGGAAAACCGCATGGCTTCAAAGATTTGCCCACATAAGGAAAAGCGATTAGTGTTTGTTTTCTCAATGCTGGAGGAAAAGGTAAAGAAGTAGGTGAATCTACTAACTAGAGGTCATGGTTAGTGTTGTCTGAACAAAACATCTGGCCTAGATCATTGTCAAAGATTGAAAACTAGACAGGTTTTCTATCTAGCCAGTATCAGCATGGGAGATAAACATCTTAAGGCTGCCATGCAGAGTGATATGGTTACTATATGAAGAAATCTATTTTCTAACACGATGGAAGCTTTTAGCTTAAATCTAACTGTATTTCCACAAATGGAATAGATAATTAGATGCCATTCATTGAGTTCAATTTCTGGTGAATTCCTAGATAAATGATTGCCATCTCAACCTGCCTTCCATAATTATAATACAGCTTTTCCAAGGACATTCCAGCAATGTTTTTTCTCCTGTCCATTCATGTATTCTGTTCCCCCTTTTTACTTCTTTCAGCCTAGTCAACCAGACACTCATTCTCTCTTGTACTACATCTTTTTGCATCGCTTCAAAGCAGATGGGGGGGGGGGTTATTATTGCAAAAGGAGGAAAAGAAGGGTAGGCATCATCACATGAGTGATTAGAAACCTGCTGGCAAATATCGTATTTCATATTTTGAAAGGGACACCTTAGGCCTTTCACCAAAGGGTCAGTAGTATCTGTCCTTTAAGACAAATATTATATTTGAGATGCTAATGTAAATTGATTTTATGAAAGTAGATTGGATTGGTAAAAGTAGCCTTCCCTAATTTGGTGTCCTTTGATTATGAACACTGCACTCCCTGATTCTTAGCAATGGCTTTGCTGAGTGACACTGGGGAGAAGAAGGGTGATACAAAGTAATAGCTTAGCAGAATTGGTACTACAAAGCAGATATTGCTTTTTTATCTGACTGGTTTTTAATTTCTTTTTCCAGAAATCGGGGCTGTATGAATATAAAATCTACAGCATACTTAATGATTGTTCCCCAGAGCTATGTGCTGAAGTTTATATGGACTTAAACTACAGAACAAAATGGGACCAATATGTTAAAAGTTAGTAAATAATTCTAATGTTTCTTCTATATTGCTATCCTTTTTAAGATTCTTTCATTTCACTGTTTTAAATTGAAACCTGATTAATTCAGTGAGTGAACTTTTCTTTTTTTAAAATACAAATACTGTTTAAAATGCTCTTCCAGTGTTTATAAAATAACCTTGAAAATTATAGATATTTATTTGAGAAACTAATATGCCAGTTTCTAGGCAGCCATTTATTTCAATCAAGCCTCTTTGATCCTTCAATGATATTCTCATTTAGCTTTACTGGTATTAATATGAGGAAATCTTCTAAACAGAATTTTATTCTGCCTATGGAAAGTTTGTGTGTGTGTGTGTGTGTGTGTGTGTGTGTTTTCTATAAACCACAGATGCAATTAACATAAATTAATACATGGAAATATAATACAACCCAGACAATATTAGTATACTATTTTTGCATTGTCTGCTTCTGTTATCATGTAATGTGCTGTTCTTTCTTTTTTCATGCAATTTGTTGACTATATGTAGATAGTTAGGCTGTAGATATACATTTTGTAATTGGAGAAATATATGAATATCTTTTCGTTATGAAGTAGCTGTTTGATTTAAGTATTGTATGGAGGCCTTATAATCGAAAGAAGGTTACTAAGGGTTCCTTGCACAGAAGGAAACTATGGGAGAATTTGTGATTGGCAGAATTGTGACTAAAAATACTAGAAGTTAAAATGAATTATAATGTGGAAAGGGTGATGCAGTTTTATGTCATATAAGGTAATATCACCTGATTTTTACTCTTCAGGAATTAGAAATTAATTGTATGAAAGCGAAAAGAGAATTAATTCTGTATTTGATGATTTTAAAAAAGCATGCAGTAAAGTTGAGTAGGCTTGTTTTGCACAAATATGGTGTTGAAGAATGATTTCTGAATTCTGTAAGAGTGATATACAATTAAAACAAGGCATGCATAAGAACAAAGAGCTGAGAAAATGGTTCAATATTGAGCAGGAAATAAGAAGTAGAAATGTTCGGTTCCATTGATTGTTTAATATATTTATGGATATATGTGTATGATTAGAGATGTTCTGTCTGAAGATGTGGGTGTACATTTGTCTGATATCAAATTAATACAGCAGTGACCTCTGGTGGAAAATGTTATATTCATGTGATTTACTGCTTTTTGGGAATTATACTCTATTCCATTAGAAAATTGGTATTAAATATGAAATCCTGTGATTAACCCTTCCATACGTTTGTGGGGAAATGTTAAGAATTTAAGAGAATTCTCTTTCTGATATGAGCATCTGAAGTCACTCCTCCCCACCCCTGTAGTAGTATTAGTTGAAAAGCACAAAATGGCCTTTTTGACTTTTATGATCAGCATGATGCATTTCAAGAAGCATTTCATTTAGTTGTCTAAAAACACTGAGAATGCATTCAAGAGCATTTTCTAGTATCAACACATAAACTGCCTCAATTAGGTGCATGAGATTTCCTATTTGTCAAGTGGCTCCAATGGGAGCTTGAGAGTGGATAAGACCAATAGTAGTGCAGCAATTTTGGAACATTTTTCAAAAATTAAACTTAGTAAAAAAAGATACCTTTTGTTAAAACATGAAAAAGCACCAAATGTATTGCTTTGAATTTTTTCCTCCACCACAGGTTATTTTTAGACAGAAGTTAAGAAGTATTTGACAGTTTTGAAATGTTTAAAAAGAAATTAATGAATTATTATAAAAAGCAATCAAACATTTTAATTTGTGTTGATGGAAAAGTAGTTGACTTTAACTAACTGATAATTTTAAGAACTAGGTTACACAAGATGGCTTGAAAAACTAAAAAAGAATATTGAGGCTTTAAAAGTATAAGTCACATAATTTAAGAAACATATCTACATAAATTAACTATGGTTGTTGACAACAGAATAGAAAAACTATATTGAAAAAGATTTAGTAGCATTTTTGGATTGAGTTCTAGTTTGGTGACTAATTAGATTTCATGTCAACTGCTTTGCTTCACTGTCTGCCTTAAGAATTTCATAATAGAGCCATTGCTGGAACAAATAATGAGAATAAATAGATTTGTCCTTCTAGAATTGACTTTTTTTCTTTTCTTCATCTTATCCAAGAAGAAGCTTTCTCCATTTTGTATCTCCTAGTACTTTGCTGTTTTGAGATGGCCAGAAGAGGATTCATCATAAGGATGAGACAGTTCTAGGGGCTTAAGTTACAGAGCTGTGGATCTTCTGCTGGAAAACGGAGGGGTTTTGGCAGATACTTACTATTCTTATGTATATTATTCGTCATATTTATAGCCTACCTTTCCTCAAGACAGTGTACATAGCATTCCTTTCTTCATTCCTTCCATTACTTTTACTTTAAAATGTGAGGTAAGACAGAAAGATTAGCTCAAAGGGCTGAGCTAAACTGGAACCTGGGCCTTTCCAGGCCTAGCCCACATCTTAATCATTGCACCAGAGACATTATGCTGTATTTATTTATCTGTTTGTTCTATTCTTTTTCTTGTGGGAAAGACAATTTATTGATATATGTTATGGATCTTATAAGCTAGTCTTTCCTGATCTGGTGGCACTCCAAATGGGTCAATCTGCTGAATTCTCATTAGTGACCATGCTGGCTGGGAAATTCTGGGAGATGAAATACAGTTGGAGGGGACATGATTTACTCTATATTAAAGTCCAGCTTCTGTTAGAACACACTGTGTTTCTTGGTAACTTTCTTTTTAAAATTTGAACTGTATACAATAATGTATGTATGTATGTATGTATGTATGTATGTATGTATGTATGTATGTTGAAGGTGGGGTTTGGGGGCAACAAGATACTAAAAATACAAGTGAATGGAGTACTGAGGAAGAGGGAAACTTTTGCAAGAAAATGGTGAAGAATTTATTGTATATGAGTCTTACTTGGCACCCTTTTAGGTTCAAGCAATCTGTAGTCAGAGACTTAACACATCCTGATTCGTCATAGTTGCTCAGCATGGTTCTTGTTTCATAATAGATATGTTCCTACAGTGCAACAGAGTCAGAAGTACATTTTTGTTTTTCTTTAATGAGGCTAAATAAATGGTGATAGATAAATAACTTCTCTTAATATTATTTCCTATTCTTCTTCTGTATAACTTCTCCTTTTCCTGATGTATTCTTTTTAAAAAGTCAGTACTGTTTGGGGGATTCATTTTCCTTAGGCTCTGAGCTTCTCAGGGGTCACTTTTGCAAGCCAAAGCTGCTATCCACTGAGAAGCAGTTAAGATATAATGATTCCATAATTGCTGCCATGGTTTTTGGCCTTGATCTCATTAACTTGCAATTTAGTCTGAATAATAATCTATAAAAATTATCATGTGCTAGTAAAAAAAAAAAAACGTGATGGAACTTCTTAGTTGAAACAAATAGTCAAGAAGGAATGTTTAAAATACTGTAGGATTTCCAAATACAAACTGATAAAGCCTTGGCTTATAACAAGAAAGTGATTGGCTGAAAAGAAAAAGTGGGGATAATTGATGTGGCAATACCAGGGTAGTAGAATAAAAGACAAAGAATTGGAGAAGATCACAAAGTATAAGATTTGCAAATCAAAGTTGAAAGATTATGGCATAAGCCTGCCATGGTGGTCCTACATGATTATCGACATACTGAGTAGCAAACCAAATCTGGGACAACATTTAGAAAATAGGTACATTGCAGAAGGCCGAACTTCTTGAATCCACATATATATATTATGCTGATACATTATGACGTCCTAAGTTCTTGGAAAGAACACGGGATTGCTTTGGTTAGTGACATGGGCAGCATATAAATTTATTGAATAAATAAAATAAAAAAGAACTCGCTGTGCATGAAGGCCAACACCAGCTAAAGAACTGGCAGCTGTGATTTCACATTGTTATGCATATAATAATGAAGATTTATTAAACTTGCATGCCGTATGACTTTAAACAACTCTGAATGATGAGCAAACACATCCTGCCTCCCACCTAAGTCCCTAGAAGCTGACAGCCTAGAACAAAAGGGACATTTATTGAAATTTCACACATACCTAGCTTGATTTATGTATGACTTGTAGCATTTTCATTAAATGCTTTCTAATCATTATTGTTTGTTTAGTGAAATAAATATGTTTCTTATACATTTTACCACCAATTTGTAGATGTACGTGAGAAAACTCAGGATGGCAAAACAGCTATATACTGGGAAGTGAAGTTCCCCTTCCCCTTGGCAAACAGAGATGTATCCTTTCAAATTTTTGACAGTAATTTTATTTTAACTTTAATAGTTACAAACCTTGCTACCATCTCAGTTTTTCTCAATTTCTGAAAATTTGAATGGTGCACAAATTAATCCTTATTAGAAACTAAAAAAGTAGAATCTTTATACATGCTGTTGTTTCATCTTATACTTTTGGGGGGGGAAAAACAACCACATAATTTTAAATCCAAAATGCAATTGAATCTGTGCTCCCTAAATTTGAGGTATGTCTGGACACATAATGTATGTTAAATTTTAAAATCCTGATTATTTCTTAAACTTCAGCACAGTATGTTTTTGTTCGCGAGCGTCAAGATATGGAGCTTGATGGGCAGAAGATCTATGTTATATTGGCTAAAAGTGTGAATACTGTTAAATTCTCAGAAAAGCCTGGGATTGTTAGAGTAAAGAATTTTAGACAAGGTGTGGCCTTTGCAAGTGATGGCAAGAAAGGGTGCAAAGGTAAGAAATTAATAGATAATTTTATAGGAATGGTTAATTTGATCAGAAAATTTAAATTCTAATTCAGGACTTTGGCAAATATCTATATGCCTTTGTAAAAATTAATTTATGTCTTTTGTTAGCGATTAGGATAAACAGATTGCTGAAAGAATGTGTACATAGTAGTATTGTAGGCCTACAGCCAATGATTTATTTCACAAATTTATTTCATAAATTTCATTTATTTCACAAATTCCAATACAGATAATTCTCTCTCACAGCTAACCAATCTCTACTATTTTTGCTTCTTTCTGTTCTGTTTGTCTCCTACCTAGGGATTAAAAATATTTAGTATAGATCCCTCTGTGAACTGAATTTGAATATTTGCTGCTTTCAGATTTTTCATGGGATGCCTAGCAACTGAACAATAATTTGGCTAGCAACGGTTGGGTGAAGGACTGCACACACCTTTAAAACTGTGTGGTGACCAAGGAAATCTCTTCTACTTTTCTTTAACTTTTAAAATGCTTGGTGCACTCACAGCAGCACCATGCTCTATGAAGAATAGAGGTTTTCCCAGTACTTCTTGGATTGACCATGTGATACATTGAACATTATGTAAAATCAAAACTTGCTGAAGAAATATCAACAGACTTTCAGGAAATGTAATTTCTGCCTCACTGACCCTTTAAAGTTCTTTGAAGGTATTCAGGTTATGGATAGGGATGTCCATTGGATACAATTTTCTTTTCTTTTCTTTTCTTTCTTTACTGTCACAAGGTTTTCCAGAGGCACCAGAGTAAATTCACTATTATGGAATTGGAAGATTGGTAATCTATTAAAGAACAGAAAGCACAAAGAAAACAAATGGCTTTAAAATAGCAACAGCAACCAAAATTTTGTTTCACTATGTTTGAAAATAATTATGGGCAAATTGAAAAGCAACAACAAGGTTTGCTAATAGCAAATTAGTTAGAATACTTAAAACAGAAAGGAATCTCAGTTCTTTGAAAAATTCAACATAAATTATTTAAGTTCAAATAAGCCCTTGGAAATGCACATTTGAGAAGAAAAATCCTCAGGTCACATATATACTGATGAGATTTACACTAAAATGACTAAGCAGGAATGAGATTTTGGGCATATTCCATGAGTTCTTTTAGAGAGGGCACACAATTAATGGCAAGCATTGGGATAGGGTGAGGGTGCCAGGAACTTTATTACTAGATGTATTGCAGGTTGGTGATTAAGGTGCCAGGTCTTGGTTTTTTAAAATTTTCCTGGTTTTATTATTGTGAGCCGCCTCGAGTAGTGTTTTCTAAGATACGCAGCCATATAATTCATATTAATTTATCAATTTGTTCCTTTAGTGCAGGTTCTGATAAATGGCATGGTGGAAACATTTAACTGAGATTAGACAAACTAATGAAGGGAAAGGATTATCAGTAGCTGGCAGTCATGATGTCAGTCTAGTTTTTGCAATATCAGATGCTATCTATCTCTGAACAGCAGTTGTGGAAGAAAAATTGAATAGGGCTTGGGATAGATAGGTTTTTAGTGTCATCCAGTAATTTTTTTATGATTCCAAGACCAAGATTCTTTACACTTAAATTGAAATACTACTATAATCTTTCCTTTCCCTTCCCTATCTCTCCTCCCTTCCCTCCTCCACCCACCCACCCAAAAAGAATGATTTGGTAAAGGCCAAATTTAGGGTTCTTACAAAGGATAGGTGAGGCAATGGGATTTGGGAAGGGAATGACTTTTTTTAGATTCATCTCTGTTCTTTATTGCTTTTGTTTCTGGACTGGGTTTATGTGCAATAAGTTGTCCAGTTGCCTAGAATATAATCCACATGAGAAGTACATTATGCATAAGGGAGGATATTCTGATATCCGGGAAAGAAAAAGGAATAAAATGTGCTTATAAACCAGGGGTGGGCAAACTACGGCCCGCGGGCCACATCCGGCCCGTTGGTCTTTTTAATCCGGCCCGCCGAAGATTGGTACAGAATTAAGGTTTGATGTGAATGATTGAATGATTGCATTCATTTGATTTTGACTTGTAATGACAGGCATTTCGACACCAGGTGGTGCATTAGGCGCAGTGACTTGATTTTGCGGAGATTTTGCAGTTTTTTATATGTATCGTATCTTGTGCTGACCCGGCCCGTCTGTCAAATTTTAAAAGTCAATGAGGCCCCCGAGCCAAAAAGTTGGCCCACCCCTGTTATAAACCATGTGGGGTTTCAGCACATGAAATAATAACTTTGATGGAATAAGTTCCATCCTTAATTCTAAATTACAAGCATATACTAGAGAAATGAAAAAGATGCACTTAAAATGGCACTTTGTTTTTCTTCTTTCTTTTTGGTTAAAAAGTTTTCATGACCTATTTTGATGATCCTGGTGGAAGGCTTCCTTCATGGGTTGTCAACTGGGCAGTTAAGGTAAGCAGAGCAGTTGAAGCTCTGGAGAAATAATGCTGTAGGTTAAGTCATTAAGTCATTTTGATTCATGGGCTCTTAGAAATTTGGAATATTGTTTTGTTGTTGCCTTTTCCCATATCTAATTAGAAAAGTGTGAATGGCAGTGGATGGCTGCTACTGTAGAAGAGATACCAGTAATGCAATGAGTGTGTCCCCAGAATTAGTACAAATATTAAGTCCTGATGTGATGCTTCCCTGTAAATTGTAGTATGAGATGGGTGACTTAAATCAATGTTTATCCTTTGTAGTAGCAAAAGAGATGCAAAGAAAATTAGTTGCTACTTAGTTTACTATTAAATATAGAAGGATAACTGTTTTTCAATTCCTATTCCAGACTGGAGTTCCCAACTTCTTGAAAGACATGCAGAAAGCTTGCTACACTTATCGTAAGAGATAAATGGCTCTTTGTATTCAATCTAAAGGACTGATAGATATACTTTTCAAAATTGGTCATCAATGTGGATATAGTCATGAGACATCTCTGAATAACAGCTGCCTTTGGGGATGATAATCATGAGCCATGGAAGCTTCCAGGCATATGATAATGGAACTTATTAAACTATTCATTTTCCAGTCATGCTTTCTTTTACTTTTGGTGGCTTGAAAACACAATGAAAGTATCTGTGTTTCTCAACATAACCTAATAATCTTCTTACAATCTTCTTTAAGCTAAACTCTGATGTGACATGTTCCCTTGATATCAGAGGCTGGAGAAATTGAACTGGTGCTGGAATCAGTGCTGGGTTAGAGAGTTGAGTATGCAGAGCTTATCCCATGAATTAAACTTGTTGGAGCAACTCAGTACTTTGAATTCAAGTCACTGCTTCTTTTTCCAATATCTGCTTCAAATAGAGAAATCTATTCCATATTTCTTTGACTCAAAAAAGCTGCTGACCCTCAAAGCCAATTCCCTCATGACATGAGCATCTTCCAGAAGCATCCACAGGATCCAGGGCTTTCAACAAAGCGATATAAGCAATGTGGAATTGTTATGCAAGCTGCTCCCCTTTCTTACTTCTCTGCAACTTCATAACACACTTACAAAAGGTGCAGAGCTATATATAACAACTTTCAATCCTGCTTTTGTCATTGCCTCCATTGACTCTCTCCCCCGAGCCTGTGTACCTGGAAGAACAGCAGGAATAAATAGAGCACATTTTTATCCATTGTCCTCAACAAAGAAAGATCATATAGACTAGTGTATATTTGGGAAAGTTATACACACACATATTGTTTTGTGAAACCTGCCTAAAACTAATACATGGTGGTGGTGCAATTTAGGAAAATCATGTACAAAAAAATGAATTAACTGCTTAGTAAAAAGCAAATACTAGGGTAATCAAATAAACTAACACACACACACGTATGCATGTATATGTCTTTCTGTGTGTATTGGTAGGAAGAGTATCCAAAATATATCTGGCAGTATTTCAGATTTGTCTGGGCATTTTTCTTTTTCATGATTCACAGAAATTAATTGGGAAAGGGTAGAATTTAGATACAGTACATCTGACACTGATGCATGCCCTTAGTTTGTTCTCTTTGTGGGAATGTCATCTGTTTTTAATCTTATATTTTCTAAGCAATGTGGTTTAATCGGCTCCTTGAAAGTTAAACAGATGGTAGTTTTACTTAGATATTTTGTTATATTTAACCATTAAAAAAGCTGGCCTCTCTCCAACAAAAATCATATAGACTCATTAAAACTGAAAGTCTTTTGCATTTCAATTAGAGGGGGACATGAAAGGAGCCTCCCTGAAGAATGTGTGCTGTTAAACACATTTGGGCGTCCCCTGGACAACAGCTTATAGCTGCCTAATTCTTTCAATCCGGAAGCATCCAAAGCATAGTGAGATGCTCATTTTCACCTGTGACACTATGTATATCCCAAAAAGGACCTTTTCAGGATCACAGATGACTATTATTTAAGTAAACATCAAGGGTTTGTCCACATATAAGGAAGAACTGTTGTGGGACTTGTGCCAAAAGTATGATTGCGATGTCCTGTGTAGACTCAGAGGCAATCTTCAGAGAAGACCTAAAATACAGAGCACGCAGCTTGTAGCAGAGAGGCCCCACTGACAGTATGGCAACATAATTTTTGTTAAGGCCGGGATCCAGGTTCAGTTCATAACAATATCGGAAATAAACAACATAAAAATAATAACTGGAGCTGAGCAACTGTATGGTCACAGTATATAAACCATCATTAACTGAGATCAAGGATGATGAATTTAATACATTTAATAAGGATAAAATAAATCTTGTCACTTTAATTGTCACAGTGGCATCAGGGGTATCCTGATGATGGCAGAAGTGGGGAGGCTGTTATACAGTGGGCAGATTTGAATAACCTAGCTCTTTTACATGACAAGAAGTCACCAGCTTAATTTAACAGTGTGAAAGATGGTGCAGGGGATATAATCCAGCAACTGTCACAAGTAGTCTGCCCATCTATCCCAAATTCCCAGCACTAGCCAATTATGTGTCAGGTTACCATTGTAGTTCAACCTCACAGTATCCCCTTCAGATGTAGATATAATTTTTAAAAAGCCCAGTGGCCTAAATGTCAGAGACTATTGCACAGTGCTGTTACTCCATTAATACCTAAACTTTGCTATTACCACAAATTTGCGAAGGTCAGTAAAAAACATTCCTGGTTGTCAATCCCACGGACTTGCAATACCAACTATATCTAAGGTCATACCAAGGGCAAATTGCAGAGCCCCCCTGGCAGAGGTGTTCATATGAGAGAATCTTTCAATATCTGTCATTAGTGACTTTTTATGTTCTTCAATATTCATAATTATTAAAGATTGGCAAGAGTTAGCTAGCATATTTCAGAAGGTCAGCTGGCTTGGTGCCATCTTATGTCTTATTATATCCCATCCTGAGTAATATCTCCCAAGGGACACCATATAAAGCCATTTTTTCTGAAAGAGATTTTCCCTGTAAATTGAAAAAAAACAACCCTGATTATCAGAGGAGTTAGCCCTCTTGGGATAAGCATAAATTCTAGCTGGATATTTTAAAAAAACCCACACAATTCACATTTTGGCCGCTGTTTTTGTTATTCCCAGTTCTAATCTTAAAGCTATGTTGGGCACACATTGGGAGACTTGTATAAATGTTCTTAAACTTAGACTGCATCTTCTCTGCTGGAACTAAGAGTTTTGCACCATATAGCTGCTGTGCCAATATGACTGCTTCAAATAGTTTTAAAGCAGCTAGAGTCTGTAATGCTCAGCTTTAGGGAAATAGAAATACAAAACAGTCATAGCACTCCAATTGGCCACCTGGGATACACTGGCCAGATGTGAATCTCTGCTTTCAAATGAATGGAAAAAAGGAGGGAATCTCCTGATAAGGAGAATTAAACTTACTTCCTCTATATTTCCTGTAATATAACACATGAGTAGTTGCATATACTATGCATTTGTTACATTTGTATGTCTGTTGGTCATACTTAAAGTAGACCCATAAAAATCAATTGGATTTGGGTTAATCATATTTAACTTATGCATGGTGGATTTTATGCCCCTTTCTGCAGTGATGTAATAAATACAGTTTGCCAGGTATGAGTTAACATTTCTATTTTTTGCTCTCCTTACCCTATTTCTGAGACAGACAGCCAAAACAGGAAGCTAACTGAGTTTCAATGAACACCAAAGACAACTGATCTGCTGAGTTTGGTCTAATGGGTTGCAACTCTAATTTACTGGAAAGAGAGGTTAACAGATAACAGATAATCAGAGTTGGGAGGGACCTTATAGGTCACCTAGTCCAACTCCCCGCCCAAGTGGGAAACTCTACACCATTTCTGACAAATGGCAGTCCAATTTCTTCTTGAAGGTCTCGAGTGATGGCGCTCCCACAACTTCCAAAGGCAAGCTGTTCCATTGGTTGATTGTTCTCACTGTCAGAAAGTTTCTCCTTATTTCCAGGTTGAATCTCTCCTTGTTCAGTTTCCATCCATTATTCTTTCTCTGGCCTTGCATATTGCACTGGCGCATATTGCACTGGTGAGGGTGAATGGACAGACATGTGGGTGTGGGTGTATAAGGTTGTCATAAATCTACAAACACTACAAGCTCTTACTTTAAAATGCATTCTTTTCTAATCATTATGTCAGCCAGAAAAGTACAGACTATTTAAAAACTCAAAGGAAGCCATTCCATTCTGCCTGGATCTGCTTCATAATTCAGTGTTCAACTAATTCAGTGTTCAAAATAATTCAGTGTTCAACAGGCACTGCATATTTTCAGTACTTACACTGAAAATTTGCAATTCTATCTATACGCTACAGCTTAAAAGTTGATCTAAGAAAAGCCATCAGCAAAAATGCACTGATGATGTCACCTAGTTTTGGCACTTGTTTTCTCAGCAAGAAAACAACCAAGCTCAGAGAGCACCAAGGACCCCTCAATCAGCAAAAAGCCATTTCCAGAACCTATTTGGATTCAGACTGGTATACTGTGTGATGATACTTAGAGAGATGAACCTTTGTCTTCCCACCCTTTTCTGTTCCATGAGCTTTGAAATGGCCAGTGACCCGTGTGAGAATTAAAAGGTTGGCCAGATGTTTCCTGAACAAGGAACAGAGTTCTGTTTCCCCTTTGCATGTCATCTTGCAAGAGGCGAAGTTATAATGAGTTCAAATGTTATAATTTCACAAAATTGATAGTGGGAATTTGAAAATAAGATTTGTTTGAAAATATGGATAAAAATATATGAAAATAATTACAGGTCTAAAGAGTTTTTAATTATCAGCAGATTTATAAATAAGGCCATTTGCAAAACAGATGCCTCTATTAATTTGCTGGGTTTTATAATTAAGACAAGTAATGAGAGGAATCTATGTGTAATACGTTTCTCCTGCTCTCACTCATCCTATATGGTTGCATTCAGATGAGCTTGCAGCCTTGCTTCTGTTTATGATTTCTTATGAGATTTTTATGAGCATCAAGAAAGAGTACAAAAAATTTCAGTCCATCAGAGGGATGGGGAGAAGAAAATACACTCTCTAAGTGCACAACTGGTTCTTCTGGTGTTTGAGAACCCCAACTATGAATATTCCTACATCTCTGTTGGCCAAGGCAGGCTTCTAGCAGTTGTAGTTCAGAAACATCTTTACCTCTACTTAAATGCAATGAAAAATCAAAATGCATTAATTTGTGAGCTAATTTCTACACAAATGAAGGTGAATATATGTGTTCCAGGATAATATTCTAGGATCCAATCTGGGTTGGTCACCAGGACCAGAAGTTTTGTATTCTGAGCTTTCAGATTTGTGTTGGAGCCCATCTTCAGGGAACTTCTCTCTAATTTCTACAGTTTGGACTATATATTGACCTAATATTTGTTTCTTCTCAGGATTCTTTACTTGTTCAGATGGTCACTTCCACATCTGTGTTCATAGAGATTCTGTTTCCATATGTGTATTAAGTGGCAATCCGAACCAGAAGA